CTAATAGGTGAGGTGACAATATTTCCCGAAATATCTTATAGTAACTGTCACTAAATACCAGGAGTCTTTATTCTTTTAATTGTCGGTATTGCTTTATCTGCCTCTTCTGTAGTCATTTCTGACTAACCATGTCTGCGGGGATGCTAAGTAAAGTGAGAGTTTAAGAAATCTGAAACTTTTGAATGCCCCCCTTATCCAACTTGTGGTAATGTTTATAGAGTTTGGAGTAATAGTCATGGAACGTCTTATATATCTCATCTGCAGCTGACATTAGAGATTCCTAGGTGGTCTTAATGGCTGTTATAGGCTTTATGTGTGTCCTAGGAAGGAGGCATCTGGTCAAGTGGGTGCCAATTCTGCTTGCCCTCTCGTAGAAGTATATCTTTGTTCATTTTATTGGCCATGCCACGTCATCTAGTAATAATTTTGTAATTTGTGAACTGACTTTTCTGTCAATATTGTGTCTACAATTGTAGATTTATGCTGCGATTCAAGTGTTGAGTAAATTTATCTGAAGATTAAAAAGTATGTTTGGGTCTTTCAAATCTTCTCATATACTATTATGAGGCAAAACTATCCTAAATCATAATGTGGCATACCCCTCTGGGAGAAAAAAGATTGGTGGATCTCGAGACAGGCCTTATGGGATCCAATCTACTTTTAATTTAAATGTGGCTAAAAAAAGCACTTAGGGACCTCTTTACACATATCTTGCCCTTCCATCCTGAATTCTTTATATATCGGGGATAGGTTGAGATCCAAATTCAAGTTAGCACATTCCCTCTCTCCAATGACTCCAATCCTCTGCGACAAGCTTTTTACCCCAGGCATGAGACCACATGGCTTTAGAAATCTTGAAGAGGCAGGTATCCCAAGATATATCCATCTATTGCCAGAAGGAAAAACTATAGAACTTGAAGACTTGAGACAGATCACATCCTAATGACCAGTGACTTCTTCCGCTACCTCCAGATAAGGGATTTCGCACAATCTACTGATTTCAAAGAAGTAGCAATATCCCTTCCCACATTCTTTGAACTATTATACAACAAAGGAAAATACAAAAAGGACCTGATCTCCCTCCTATGTACAAATCTAAGCAAAGAACCCTCAATATGGGGACCACTAAGATATATCAACAAATGGGAAACAGGTTTGGGTGAGACCCTATAGTGGGAATAAATTTGGGAAGCAGCCACGAAAATCTCAGTCTGTGTCTTATCTCAAGAATAGATGTTTAAAATTATATTCAAATGGCATGTGATCCAAGTTTGGTTACATAGAATTGGTAAAATCCAATAGACCTTCTGGTGATTTTGTAGTCGCAAAAGTACATTGCTACACATGTGGTGGGATTGCCTAAAATTACATGGCTTCCTGAAGAGCATAAGGGATCTAGCAACAGAGGTCATATGGAGACTGACTGATTTCTCTCCTTGGACCTTCTTCTAGTCTTGCCCGATTTAGATAATTTCCAAACATAATCAAAAACTTTTGAAATTAATAACACAAGCGACTGTAGGGCCCTTGCAACTGGATGGTTCAAAACAGAGCCGCCGAAATTTCAAGATGTTATTACAAAAAGCTAAAAACATGTTGTAATGGATGAACTGACCTCAGAGGTCAGGCATTAACATGCAGAATTCTCTAAAGTATGGGATCCCTAAAAAGAATTTAACTCCAATAATTTTTTTAAATAGCTGTAGCTAACTCTATGGGTAAATTGCACACTGTGGTACCTTTTTCTTTCCTCACATCCTTCCTCTTCTTTTTCTTTTTCTACTAATTTATTATTTTCTTTCTCCTACCTCTGTTCATTAAAAATTATGAGAGAAGGACACTTGATACAGGAAAAGTAATATGTTTTGTAGACATGTGCAATTCATTTAGTTCCGAATGTACATTTGAATGAATTTCGTGGAATTCGGACATTCCGATGCTTCCGAATATCCGAATTGCCAAATTCCTGAAGTGCCGAAGTTTGGGAGTTCGGAAGTGCCGAACCGAATTGCAGAAGTGCTTTGTATTTCTAGAAAGTGGCAACACAAGAGAGGGAGGGAATTATTTTTTTTTTTTACCTAATCACACTCCCTCAGCTGTCCTACGCTCATTTGCACCCACTAAGGCAGAAGTGGTTTCTGCTCTGCTCCGTTCCTCGCACCCCACCACCTGTTCCCTCAATCCTATTCCCTCGTATCTCATCTGCACATTGTCTCCTTCTCTTGCTCTGCCTCTCACTAAAATTTTCAATCTCTCCCTCTCCTCTGGCACATTTCCTCTACCCTTCAAACATGCGCCCTTAATCCCGATTCTGAAAAAGACCAACCTTGACCCTAATTCCCCATCCAACTAACACCCTATCTAGCTACTGCTGTTTGTCTCCAAGATCCTTGTGAGAGTTGTGTATGTGAGATTGAAAGACTTTCTTTGAATCCAACTCGCTTGACCCGCTTCAATCTGGATTCCGCGCTCGTTACTCTTTTGAAACAGCTGTGACCAAAGTATACAATGATCTTATCACTGCTAAATACCATGGCCACTACTCTATTCTAATTCTCCTCGACCTTTCTGCTGCTTTTGACACTATTGATCATCAATAGCTTCTTCTCATCCTCCATAATCTTGGTGTACGAGTTACCGCTCTCTCCTGGTGCTCTTCCTACCTTCCTTTACCTACTAAGCCCTCAATGAATACTTTTCTAACAATCTACTTCGTACCCCTACTTTAACCCTTTGTGTCACTATATCCCATCCCTCTAGAATGTACGCTCATTGAGCAGGGCCCTCCACCTCTCTGTTCCTGTACATCCAATTGTCTGGTTAAAATTACATGTCTGTTAGTCCACCCAATGTACAGCGCTATGGAATGTGATGGCGCTATATAAATAATAAAATAATAATAATAATAATAATTAGAGAATAGTCAAGTATTGTTACCAAGCAATTAAAATCCCCATCCCATTTCGATAGGGCCTATAAATTAATAGGGATGATACATGGAACTGGTCCTACCACCTATGGGCATTGAGTGGGGGTATAATAATGATTTGGGATAGATATGCCATTGTCCCCGTTGTGTATGCCCCACTACCCCCACCAATGAGCTGTGGATGGGGGGCGAAATATAATAGAAAAGAAAGTAGATATGCCAATTATTCACCTCCTTCACCCACCCATAGGTTTTGGTTGGGGGTATATTTACTTAATAAGAGTACCGGTGGACATGTCAGTTGTCCAGTCCCTACCCACCTGTTCATGAGCAAACTGGTAGTGGGATGAATAAATGGGGGGTGTATTTATCTAATAAGAGTATTGGTGGACATGTCAATTGTCAATCCTATTATCCCTCAACCCATGGGAATAAGTGTGGTTATTGTGGGTAGTTAACTAAGTGGGTAGTTAACATTCGCATTGTAAAGGGTTTTTAACTACTTGCAAGTAGGCAATTAGTCAAAAACATTTTTAATTACTTGTAAAAAGGAGACAATCCAGTAAGTATAAATGTGGTGTTCTGTAAATATGCAAAGCCTATATTTTGTATAGGATTCATATGCACATAGTACTGATTTTAAACCAGGCACCAAAATGATGTTAATCATTGGTGTACTTTCATTTGTAATGGCATAATTTTAACAAGATTCAGCTTTAGTACATATGAGAATTGGAAATGCTATTGGAATTTGATAACTTTCAAAAGTCAGTGTGTAGTGAATTAGCCCCAGAGTATAAATATCTAAACCCCACAAGAAAAAGGAAAAGGCTGAGGCAAGGAGTAAAATGAATGCACAATGTAGGGAGGGCAGAGTATATCTGGGAGACTGTGCATCGATGCTGATAACTATGTATCTTGTATCTTTATACTATCATGTAGAATCTGAGGCTTATTTCCACTCCACTAATGATAGATGATTGTGCTGTATGTATGCATTTAGGCATGTGCAGGGCTGGATTAACATAGGGGCTGATGGAGTTGCAGCTCCAGGCCCATGTCCACGGAATAGGCCCAATAAGTAAAAAACAAAAAATATATATATATTTTTTTTTAAATCGCTTTTTTTTTTTGGGACACACTACTCTTAGGGTTGCACCTTGCCGGTATTTAACCAGCTGCCTGGTCAGTGGCTGTATTGCAGTATAACTGGCAATGCAAATGCCGGTATTTTTATCAGTATAAACAGAGATTACTCTGCCAAACAAGCAGGCTAGTAGGATAGAGGCAGGGATAGGAAGTTACAGCATATCCTGCCTCTCTGTAGTCACTGATCTGCGGGGAATGCAATATTATCTCAAGACCCATATATTTGGTACATAAGAAGAAAGTAAAAATAAGAATATAAAATAGAAATAAACATAAAACAAAAGCAGATTATGGGACAATGAAGGTAATGAACAGTAAGGAAAAAGTCACCCATATGTTGGTAACTCTATTAGACGTGACTTTGTAGTAATAGTGCAACTTTTATCAGAAATTAATCTGGATCACAATAGTGTAATTGGAAATTTTAACCATAAGTCGCAAATAAAGTGACATATTAGATATAAAGTGCATAGAATTGGATAAAGTGCATAACGTGTATTATGCTCAAATAAAGTACATCCATTTATTTAATGTGCATATCATTAATCATTTTACCTAGAAGTCAATTCACGAGAATGAAAAGACTAATATCCCTCAGAGAACAATCTGACCAACACCTTATAGAGATGGTTGCAAGATTTAGGGAGAGAGGATATCCCCCTAAAATGTTACAGGACCAATTAGATTCACTTAAAACTGTAACCAGACACAATTTACTCACGCCCAAATCTAAACGAGACACAGGCAAAAGAGTGAAATTCATCTCTTGATATAGTACTTTGTCTACTGACATCAATAAGATCTTAAATAGACATTGGGATATACTCTCCAAATGTCATCCTGATATTGATGATTTTAAAAACAAACCGATGCCTGTGTACAAACGAGCACCATCATTTCGTGACAAGTTACCAAAATCACCCTTACAGGGCTCTAAAAAGAATGATAATTTCCCTTGTTTGAATTGTGTTTCTTGTAACGCAATGATTAAAGGATCAGTGTTTTGCCACCCACGTAGTGGTAAAAAATACTCTATCAAACAACTTGTGACATGCTCAACCACTTTTGTAGTGTACATTCTCAAACAATGTGGGTTGTTATATGTGGGTCAAACTACCCAAATAATGAAGGAAAGATTTTCTAAACATAAATCAACAATTAGGACTGGCCTTTTAGAACTACCCATACCCCTACATTTCAGCAAAGCTCATCATAATGTTTCTTAATTGAGATTTCAAATAATTGAACATGTTCAGGAAAGTCCCCGACGTGGAGATAGACAGAAGCGAATACTGTTGCGAGAAGTTTTTTGGATAAAAGAATTAGATACTCTCCACCCAAAAGGCTTGAATCAGGAATTTGATCTCATCTCGTTAATGTAAAATTTGTTATTTATTTTATATGTCTGTACTTAATTTTTTATTATTTCTTCTTTCTCTTTTACAGATATTTTTCAATTGAGGGTGTTGGTGTTGGTGATAGCCCTTCAGATACACTGAACTTTTTATCACCACCGATACAATTTCTTGAGCATATTTAGCGCTTCTTCTCAAATGGGTGAAATAATTATAACATTACTGTAATAATATTGAAAATGCAATCACAGCACTCGCTTACTATTACTCAAATAAACCCATTCTGTGTAAATAGGTAAAAAAATAATCATTTGTAAATAGATAAATTGGAGATATAAGATTAGTCCTTGTAAAATAAATCTGGTAGTATATATTTAATTGATATCTTTTGTTGACATTTTTTGTATGCACTTTGTATTTGATATGCACTTCTTTATGCACTTTACCAATGATTAATGATATGCACTTTAAATAAATGGATGCACTTTATTTGAGCATAATACACGTTATGCACTGTGATAAGGTGAATGGGGTGGTCTGTGAGGGAGTTTATATTTCAACTGAATTGTTCTGAGAGGCATATGATTTTTAACCCCAGGGGGAGTGTGTGTTTCTGTGTGTGTATATAACTGAAATGAATATTTAGTTATGGGCCCTTGGGGTGGAGCGTTTGGAGAGCAGGGTGGGCCAGTGCTCCTTTTCTTGGGAGACATAGATCCAGGCCGGGGTTTTTGGACTGACTCCAACCCACTGCTCAGCTGCAGGTAACCAGCTGCAGCAATGGGAATAAACCCCTTCCTGCTAGGCAGGTAAGGAGAGAATGTTTGTTTTCTCTCTTGAAGAGCTGGAAGCAGCAGGCTGACTAAACAGTGGAATGCTGAGAGCTGACAAAGACACTAGGTTGGTGAAACCAATATTATTTTGTTATAGTTTAACCCCTGAGAGATAGGGAATCTGATGTTAGTTAGTGCTCGGACGAGCTAGGTTTTTGTTTATAGGGATTTGTGTTCTATTTATGTTTTCATTTACTGCAGTCTTTGTGGTGAAGCTCAACAATAAAGTACCTGGAATTAAGTTACTTTTAAAGACTGTGCATGTTTGTACCCTAGAGGACCGTGCTATCTGCAACCAAGGATCACAGCACTTTATCCAATTCTATGCACTTTATATCTAATATGTCACTTTATTTGTGACTTATGGTTAAAATTTCCACTTACGAAAGACCTGACAACCTGGAATTACGATTGCATCTCATGGCATGGTCGCATAGCTGTAGTAAAGATGAACATCCTACCGAGACTCCTCTATTACTTCAACACCATACCCTGGCACCTACCACCGGAATTCTTCGCAACTCTGAGGACAGCGGTTAGCAGATATGTCTGGAAGGGGAACAGAGTGAGGCTTAGCCATGATAAAATATGCCTACCCAAGGCGTGGGGCGGCTTAGCACTGCCGGACTTCCGCAAATACTACTACGCATCTACCCTACAACGGATAAGAGACTGGCACACGGCCCCTCAACACAAACGCTGGGCGGCACTAGATAGAGAAAGCACAAACAAAACCCTACACTCACAGGTGTGGCATCACACCCAGAGGGCAACCCCAAATATCGACAAGACCTCGCCCATAGAACAGACGCTGAAAACATGGGCCATAATGAGAAAAGAAACATATATATCCCCCCAACCGAGCCCGCTGATCCCACTAACATATAACATTGACCTAGGAGACGGCCTCCCGAGGAGTGCATGGCTAACAACAGAGGGCGATGACTATTTACCCCTGAAGGAGGCGCTAACCAACGCAGGACTGAAGAACATACGTGAATGGACCGGAACCGACACCCCCACACTCATGCACAGGTTTCGATACATGCAACTACGACATTTTTACTACAATCTGCCACACAGATTAGCAGTACACAGAGACACCACGTGGTTCGAAAACCTGTGTGTGAATGAACCAGAAGCGGATGGGAGAGTATCCATACTATACCAACGGATTATACTGGGAGACCGAGTTGGGAACATAGCCTTCAAAAGGCGATGGGAGGACCTCACAGACAGAACATACACAGATGCCCAATGGGAGCAAATACTCATACTTCAGCACAAGAGCTCGATCAGTTCACGATACCAAGAAGTCAACTTTAAATTGATCTCACACTGGTACCGAACACCCTCGCTACTACATAGAATATTCCCGGGGACGCCAGACACCTGCTGGAGATGCGGAACTCAATCAGGAACAGTGAGACACATCTGGTGGGACTGTGCCATAATAAAACCATTCTGGGAAGAGATCCAACAAGAACTGGCCAAGATCCTAGGAGATATGCCAGACCTAAGCATTGAAGCCGCACTGATTCACTTCACGGAAAAACCACTCTCACTCTACAAGAAATCTATCCTGAGACACCTGCTGAATGCAGCCAAATCCTTGATTCCGACACTGTGGAAAAGCACCCAACCACCCACAATCACGCAATGGCTTCAAAGAGTAGAAGAAATCCACGCAGCAGAAGCAAAATACGCTGACTTACTGGGAAGAAGCGACAAACATGCGGAAATGTGGGGATCCTGGTACGTGTACCTAACACAAACACCGACAAGGGAAGGAGGGAGACAAGACACATAGGGAACCGAGATACGCACGACGTCCCAAAACCCAAGTAAAACCCCCCCCTCCAGCCCTCCCACACCCCCACCCTGCCTCAGAGCCCCTGCGGATGAGCCCAGTACCCGGGGAATCACACTAGGACCCCTGAGTGGCAGAATCACACTAGTTACAAATGAAATCTACACGGCCAGGGGGCACGCTAAACAAGAACCAGAGGTTGGGGGAGCCACGCTAGGAGGAAACAACACACTGCACCCACCCCAGCGACACTGAAACATTAATGCATATAGAGGATGGAGGAGACTGAGAGGGGAACTTATCAAACGAACTAACAGACACACTGACACTAGGGATCAAACCCTAAACAGGACTACACTAAGACGCAAGGACACCCCCCCCACAACCCCACACTCATGCCAATAGGCACTGTGAGACGGGGCCATAGAAGATACAGGCGGGAAGAAGGTGACTGAAAGACACAACATGCTCACCGACCACCCCCCACCCATCCCATCATCCACACTCTAGACACATTACAGATGAACGACATTAAAGACTGAGAGATGATTACAACCTGCAAGGACAAGCGAACGACAAGACCTAAAACAACAAATAATATCATAACGCAGAGTGAGCGATCTCAAACCACAGGACCATAGCTAACGCACCTGACAGACTGTAATTAATCAATCTACAACATGTTAAGTGAATATCGTAAATAGAGATCTATTGTGTCAGGAGACCTGCGAGCCTCAATCACTTTTGCATCCTCAGAGATCTGCGCATCTCAAGACCTCAAACGAGATTCTAACTGATTGAAACCTGCGTGTTTCGCACTGCTCATAACCTCACTGCGAATTGTTCACCTCGCAAACTCTTTAATAAAACGATATTTAAATGAAAAAAAAAAAAAAAACAGCCAAAGTACATAGTGTAAGATTTAAATATAATAAAAGTCATGCTCCTTTTTCAAAATTTTTTAAAAAAAAAATTTGTGTTTGTTTTATTCTTATATACCAAATTTATGGGTCTTGAGATAGTATTGCATTCCAACATTAGATATATTGCTATTAACCAATGGCTGTTTTGGCCAATGTGCCTACTTATATACTGGGGATATCTATACTTCTATACATTTTTTATTTCTTAACATCATTTTCTTTATGGCGTGTTCTTGTATAATATACAGTTAGTGGATTTTAATGTTAACTCTTAGTCATCTAATATAAACAGCTTTATATATGTCTTGGAGATATATATATATATATATATTCGCTATTTCATATATGTGGAGCCTCAAATTACGTTTTCCAATAAGCTCATTATCACTTATGTAAATTTCTCTCTTGGCTGTCCGTGCGCATGTTTAGCTGTACCTCTCGGACCACCCATATTGTGTGGTGTGACGGGGTGACCGAGCATACGCTCGGACTTAGCCAAGATTTTACTATTTGGCTGTTTTGAGCGCATCTACAGTTGTACCCAGAAGTTATTTAATGAAACGCAACTTGTACGGATGTACCCGGAAGTGAATAATGAAACGCAACTTGCGCTCCACCATGACGTTCACATGGAAACCTGTTTGGCGGCTTTCCCCATATGTGGTCAGTAATATTATTGCACTAATCTATGCTAATTATCTATGTTAATTAATTATTGTTAACAACATATGATGACTTACAGCTGTTACTTTCCTGTCGAGTATACTCATTCACATGTGTGCTGTATTTTACTTTGATTGTTTACATTTTTCAATATATACTGTGTCAGTTGGTGTATTTGTTAGCTTGATAAAGACCTTATGGTCGAAACGTTGCTGAGGTTCAAATAAAGTGCCTGTCTTGAAGCAAGGAGTGCCTGGACCTCTTTTCCTTTATTCTACTATTTTGGGAATCTGGTGTTTGGTTCCGGTACAGTTAAAGCACCCCGGCTCTGATTGGAGTGAGTGCAGTTCCCTACACACTCTACATGGGGACAATGGGAGACACTTGGGGACACTGAGACATTAGGGGATGCTGGGAGACATGGGGACTCTGGGAGACACTGAGACATTGGGACACAGTATCCCATTTTTCTCAGTGTCCCCATTTCTCCCAGCCAGTGTTCCTTAGTCCCCGTAGTCTACCAGTGTCCTCTAGTGTCTGTGTCCCCATGTCTCCCAGTGTCGAGGACACGAGGGGACTTGTGGACACTTGGGCACTTGTGGACACTGAGTGCCCCCATGTCTCTGTGTCTCCATGTCCCATATTGTCCTAGTTACATGGGGACACTAGGAGACATGTGTCCCCATGTAAGAACAATAATGGGGTGGAAATATCTGCCTGAAGAGGTGTTTTTTTTTTGTTTTTTAAGTCTATACAGATGTTTAAACAGCAATTGCATAAATACTTGCAAAAACATAATATTCAAGGATATAATGTTTAATTAGTGAGGTAATAGCATCTTGATCCAAGCAGATATCTGATTGGGCTCAATAAGTAAGTTTTTCCTAGTTTGTTGCAAAACTGGAAGCACTTCAAACTGGGTATTCTGCCTTTTTTTTGGATCAACAGCAAACATAAATGTGAGACAGGCTGAACTTGGTGGACGCATGTCTCTTTTCAGTGTACATGTAACTATTAATGGTACGTTTTTCAAGCTGGGCATAAATCGAAGTGCTGTCTATCAGAGGTCTTTTCTGGGACCACTTTTATGCAACCTATTTATAAATGATCTTTAAATAGACATTGAAAGTTTAGT